TTTCAGGTCGAACAGAAAGTTTAAAAGTTGTGCAAATATCTAAAATACTTGAAAATTTCTTCTGTCCTAAAGTTTATCAGAATTTCAAATCCTAGATAATATTCAAGTTTTTGTGCAGAGGACATTTCTCCGAGTGTCTCAAAATATAAAACAAAAGGGATAAAGGTATTGAGATTTTGCCACATACTCTGATTTATTAATCCCTAAACTTTGCAGCCCAATGGCATAGACCTTTGATATTTCAAACTATGAAGTCTGTTAGATCCAATAATCTAAGTTTGAAATGTCAACATTAACATTAAATATTGTTTAGAATATTTGAGTTTGTGGCAAAGAAACAATTCTTTTATTTACATGAAACAAATATTTGTTTTTAATTTTAAATCTTTAGTTCTCCAAACACGTGTTTTGTCACTTTTGTGTCTTTTTTTTACAAACATATAAGCAAGTTTTATGTATATATATTAAAATGTAAAAATTCTGTTGAGCCGGTTAAATCTTTAAAATGAAACCCTGTCATATTCCAGAGTAACTTAATATTTTCAAATTTTTCTTTTATCAATAACTAGCTTTACAGTTTCGTTCTCTTCTATACCAGAGTAAGGGTATTGATCTATTAGCTTGTAAAGAGTCCAGAAAATGAAGAAATTGTTCAATGTTCATCCACCCTAAAAACGATTAAGAAAAGGCTAAAGTTGAAAATTAATTATCTTTGAATTTTCTCAAACTAGTTTCAAGGAAAAGTTAAAAATGTTAATAATATTTTTTCCTGTGCTGGGAATCTAATATTAAAATTCTTATTTGAAAACCCAGCTTTGTCTGGATCTACATAGTTTTTTCTGTGAAAGTCAAACCACTTGATTTTTTAAACCAAACTAAGCCAAGACTTTTTATCTTACATACAAACACGTCAACAGAGATTACTACTTTATATATAAAGCTACATGAAAATATATCTTTCTTAACAAAATTTTTCATTTTTGACAAAACTTCCCCTCCCCCATAACAAGACTTCTAGCAACGCCTCTTATAAGCATAGAATTGTAATTTATCCCAGATGGCACAAAAACAAACTTTTCTTCTTTCTTTGGAAATTTTCAAGAGAGAAAAAATAAACTTGAACTAGTAAATTGGGAAAGAAAATAAAGTATAAAGAGAAAAGAAAATCATAAAGAAAGTGAATTGTGTATAAAGGATTATTGGAAAAGTGCGCAGGATATTCTATAGAAAATACCCCAAGGGGGTTTGTCTATATTGATAGGTATTCACAGTGTGACACTGGGTGGGGTAGGTTAGGGAATTTAATCTACTTTATTTAATTACCTCTAATAGATTCCTATTTTATACTTTCTCCCTTGCCCAGTAGAATTATACACATTGCGAATACATATTCTACTATTTGGTTGGACTTTTTAAAATACTCTTGGGACATTTTTAAAATTATAATATATCCTGAAATCCTACTCTAGAGACTTATTCTCAGTATATTTTATAAATTATTCATTACTCTGCAGCACAATAGAGTCTGATTAGGATTACCATGTTTCTATACATGTACAAATATAGACACTAGCTAATAAACAGTTGCCAACAGAAAATTAATTATATCTCCTTATACTAAATGTAAAAAAACAGAAGCAAAGTAGGTTTACTAGAAAATTGGAATTGCTTTAAGATCATTCTACTATTGTATACGAATTTGTAAAAGAAATGTGTTGCATAGTTTAGTTTGATAATACCAATATTTAAAAAAATGCAAATCCGGGAACTTTTAAAATTCGAAAACGTATCAAATTCCTAACTCTACACAGCTAGCTGAAGTTAAAAATATCACCACCAGGAGTCGCCATTCTGCGATGAACTTTATTGAAATATCTGAATGACAAATAAAACAAAAATCATATTTGGTTAAATTTGTAAAGATCCGAACATTAAACAACATTTTTGATGGGTTTAAATCTGAATAAAAATATTCTTGATTTAACCACACTTTACTATTAAGCTGCAAGCTTACTAAAATGCTGGCGTGATGTGCAGGTTTGACAGCAGCAGCCTTATGTTTTTTTTTATCTTTTTGCAGCTCTTTAGTTTATGGACGGTTAAAACCGATTAATCAAAAGATAAAAAAGTAAAGAATATATATACTGTGGTGGATTCAGATTGCTCTGGTACTTGATGTAGTTTTTTCTTCAAACTATACAAGAAAGATGGAATTTAGAGGGTCCCTTGGAATTACGTCCTCAGTTTATATATTGAAAATTCTGAATGTTAAATGAAATAAAAAGAGTATTTGGTTTAAAGAATTGAGTCTTTGCCACAAGCTCTGGCCCACGATTTAAAAACTTCGGCTCGAGCCGTAGTTCCTTAAACCCAACTTTAAGATCCAACTCTGACGACGTAGCTTGTGACACGTGATTGACAGCTGCAAGATCTTCGGCTTGACTAAAGAAGTTAGGTCCAATGAAAATAAAACCGACCTTGGTTGGTTTTAGTGGAGAATAAGGCTTAATATTTAGTATTATTCTCATAAAAACCCGGAATGCGCGAATTCCCACCTTATAAATCCGCCAAACATGGGCAGTTGTAGTACATTTAAATTTCCGAGCCGGGTCAACCTTTCCAATAGGACTAGCCGTTGCAGATGACGCGGTCAGACTTTAGGATGAATCTACTTTTACAAAAGGGTCAGAGGTGCGTGCAAATAGAATATCAAACCGGTTCTTTGAACTCAACTCTGTGGAAAATAAGATGCAGCTTGAATCCGATAGCTCAAAGTCGTAAATAATACCCCACGGCAGCTTAGACCGGAGCTGTATTTTCCCAAATCTTTTTAAATCGCAGGCTGATTTTCTAATTTCAATACTTTAGACTGTGTGAGTTCTGTAAGATCAAATAATCTAAGTTTGAAATATCAAAGGTTTAATACATCATATTCTAAAGATATTGCGATTAGAAAATTCGAGTTTATGGCAAAGGCTTAATTCCTTTTTAAAGATCACGCACATAATTAACATTTTTAATGGGTTTTGAATAAAAATCAAAAAAATAATAATTTTGGCACACCTAATAAGCTTGTGCAGGCTCTATACATAGATTGATTAAATATGTTGTTTTAGCAGGAAAAATTACTAGAGCAGAGTTACAATCTCTATAATTTATGAACGGCAGATGCCGAGAAAGGTTCTGCTGTAAGGCTCATGAAAATATACCGTGAAACCCTTTATAACGAATAAATCGAAAGAATTCATCAAATGTCGTATTCTCACTTTCTGATAATGGAATTTTGCAGATGTTTATTTATTTTCACAAATACTGAAATTTACATAATATAGTATAAAACCCATTGAAAAATTGTCAGGACGACATTTGATAAATTCTTCCGATGTATTCGTTATTAAGGGTTCACTGTAATTCAAAGATAAAATCCAATTCAGGGTTGTGAACAAAACGAAAAACTGGGTTTGATCTTAACAAGAACCGACATGAATATATTAATATTAAAAATTGTCTTATATGTACAATGAAATTCCATTTTTAATGAGAAAAAACCGGTCCCATGCCTTCGATAATGCGTGAAGCTCTGTTTAATTAAAACATAATTGTTAACATTCTTCAACAAATTATTATCTTTAGAAACACAGAAAAGTTTTGTTAACCCCCCCCCCCCCTCCCCATTAGAAATTAAATCAGTTGTGACTCATGAATTTTTCTATTTTTTAAATACATTTTATGAAACTATAGTGCACTTTTTCATGCTTATACTCACTTCATCGTGAATTTCATAATGAACGTGCTTTAAAGTTTGTAGGTCGGATCCACACATTTTGATGCACAGTTTTGTAGGTCGGATGAACACTTTTTGTAGGTTGGATGAACACTTTTTCTAAGTCGGATTCACACAACTTTTATAGGTCGGATGAACACATTTTTAGGCCAGATGCACACTTTTTGTAGGTCAGATGTTCGTTTTGGTTAAGTCTGGGTCGAGCGCTGAGGCCACATTATCAAATTGATAAAAGTGATAGCGGATATGTGAGGGTAGTTTAGTTTAAGACAATATCTGGTGCTGCGGCTGCTTAATACTGTGCATCAGACCTACAAAATGTGTGCATCTTTCCATACGTATGTGTCATCCAACCTACAAAATGTGTGTATCCGACCTACGAAAGTTGTGCATCCGACCTACAAAAGTTGTGCATCCAACTTACTAATGGTGTGCATCCATCCAACAAAGGTTGTTCATCTGACCTACAAATGCAGTGCATCCGACAAAAGGTCTTCATCCAACCTACATTTAACTTCTAGATCAGTCAAGGTTTTACAAATTAAATGTAATTTATCTAATTTTATGTTATACATGTTGAACTCTCTAAGTAACAGACTTGTAAAATATATTCATATTTTTATATTTAAATCTACTTTGGATAAACATCAACCCATCACATACAAAAACTCAGTCAAGGGAAAAATATTGAATTTTCACAAAATATGTCAAAATGAGTTCTGAATAAACCTTAATATTGATAACAACAAACAAACAAAACGAAGTTTATTCTACAGTGAGAACCAGAAAACTGAAGTATAAATGTCAGCTTTGTTCTCTATTTTACTTGTTAAGTAGGATTTTGTAGGATTTTGTAGGATTTTATGCAAGGTTATCCCCAAAGTATAAGAATGTAAAGACGACTTAAACTCTTCAATTATGAAAATTTCAAGTTTTAATAAAGTTTTCTGCCTTAAATATAGTCTTAAAATGGATTATGAATTCTGTTAGGTCAAAAAATCAAAGTTTGAAATATTAAAGGTTTACATGGACAGGTTGCAAATATATCTGGATTAGAAAAGCTGTGTTTGTGACAAAAACTGAATTCCTTCACCTGTCAGCAATTGATTGTGTTCTTCTGTATGTGTAACACATTTTTGACTGTTGTGAAGACTCTCTAATAGACAAATTGTTTAATTAGATTTGGACAGGATTTTATTATTTAATGAGACTTGGACTGGATTTTATTATTTATTTATCACACTATTGGAGTTTACAAGGAAACTATAAACACTAATAAATATCAAATCAAACCAAAGACAGGATTAATGCTAAAATGGGGAAATACAAATTGCACTCTCCCGTTCAAAGGCAAAAATACAAATTGCATTCTTCCGTCTTAAACATCAATATTCGTTTATTTTGTCAGTTCTATTAAAAACTGACATGTTAAACAAACTCATTTTAAAGTTTTTATGGAAAGGAACTGATTTCTTGCCTAACTTATACTATTTTTCTCTTTAGAAATAATTGATCTGTTCAAACTTTCGCGCGTTTGCTGATCTGTAAAGAATTCATGCATATTTGAAACATTGAAAACGAGAATACAGTGATGACCGTAAAACATGTGCTTATGATACACCTAATATTGCCAATTAAACTATATTTTTCTCATCCCTACTTCTTTGAAATCTACATGCTTATTTCAGAGAGACAATTGCAGGGTTGGCAAATTTGAGTTTGAGGCAAGTGTACACTACTCAGTCTTCAATTACTAATCTAAAAATATGATTATGTATAAAGAAAATCATATTTGTAAGCAAAATTATTCCATGCATCTGCAGAAATAAGATTGGATCAATAAACGTATTTTTAGGAATCTGGTATTCAGTAAACACAAACATTTAAAACGCGGAATGGACTTGACAACAAAAAAATCATGTTTTCATTAATTGTGCGATTTCAAAAAAGCAGAATGTATTATGATTACTCATTTTTATGACAAATAAGAACCAATATATTTTTGCCAACATTTTTGTGCGTTTTTTATTACTTTGTATGTTAAATATTGAACAGATAGCAAAAAATGAACAGTAAATTAATTAATATAATGATTATCAAAATCAATTTTGTAGGATTAAAAAGAGGTAAAATAGTTATTTAAGAAACAGCAGAAAAAAAACATAATTGGTGACTAAAGAATGGGTTAACAGATTTAACTAATTAATAAAAAATATATAATTATTTTAACTAAATGAAAGATAATTAAATCACAATGATAAAACTGAATGATAGACATAGCTAAAATGATTTCATCAAGGCATACCAAGTCATTATAAGTTTTAAAAAGTATAATCTACCATTTTGATACTCAGAGAAAAAAATATTTTTCTACAATAAGTTCATTATTATATAATACTGGAACAGTTAAAATTACACTTGAAAGATGGTTTTTATCAGATTTAAATAATAAAAAAATCGGATTTTAAGTGAACAAATATTACTTTCCGATCCTTTAAGTTTAGTTTATTCTTAAACCCTTTCTCACTGTTCAGCATCATTAACATTCATGCAGCTCTGGTTTGCTAAACATCTAATTCTACTCCGTGTACTCAGGAACTTCGACATCATGCACCCACAGACTGTGAATGATTCCTCCTCTCTTGTGCCCTAGCAGCAAAAATATAATTTAGTTAAAAATTTCGTCTACAGATGGCAGAGTCAAAATAATTTATTACCCGCCAATTACAGTAATTAATCAGGCCTAATTAACACAATTAAGAAATATTTCTAAAGTTGTCTGATTAATGTGTGAGTTGTGTAATAAATGGGCAAACATAACACAAAGCATTAAATCAATGGTTTCATTCACGGTACACTGGAAAGTATGGAGGATAAAGATGGGGGAAATGAAAAGGGAAATGAAGGGGGAAATAATCAAGAAAGGAAAATATAAGGTTAATATCTGACAACTTTCATACAAATTGTTTATTTTTTATTGAACTTATGGCTTTTCACATTTTTACTGAATCATATATTATGTAATCATGTAATCTATTTTAAGGAAGGTTGAAGTTTTGGAAAATTGGAATATCTGATAGTAATAGAAGTAGCTATTTAGCGAGAACTCCATTTGACAAACCGATTTAAAACAATACAAATATATAACAATTCGTAGGACTTTGCATTTTCCCGAAATACCAACTTGTGAAAGAATATACTGATACCAGGTTTGGTAATAGGAAAGCTTGGACATATAACCGAATTTCATTTGCCCATTTCAATTCCAGCAACCTAAATTTATCGCCCTTAAATTCCAGCTACTTAAATTCACTGCTCCTAAAATTCCAGCTACCTAATTGTATTGCCCTTAAATTCCAGCTACCTAAATTTATTGCCCTTAAATTCCAGCTACTTAAATTCACTGCCCTTAAATTCCAGCTACCTAAATTAATTGCCCTTAAATTCCAGCTACCTAAATTTATTGCCCTTAAATTCCAGTTACTCAAATTCATTTCCCTTAAATTCCAGCTACCTAAATTCATTTCCCTTAAATTCCAGCTACCTAAATTTATCGTCCTTAAATTCCAGAAACCTAAATTTATTGTCCTTAAATTCCAGAAACCTAAATTTATTGTCCTTAAATTCCAGCAACCTAAATTTATTGCCCTTAAATTCCAACAAACTAAATTTATTGCCCTTTAATTCCAGCTACTCAAATTCATTTCCCTTAAATTCCAGCTACCTAAATTCATTTCCCTTAAATTCTAGCTACCTAAATGTATCGCCCTTAAATTCCAGAAACCTAAATTTATTGCCCTTAAATTCCAGCAACCTAAATTTATTGCCCTTAAAAAGCAGACAATTTCGTTTTGTCTATATTGTCCATTTCTACCTGAACTAATAGCTCTGACACAAGCTGGCTCATTGCCTATCGTGAAATGAGTTTCAGTTCCATCATCAGTAAACTCCCCAGCCATCTCAACCTGGAATATATCATCAGTAAACTCCCCAGCCATCTCAACCTGGAATATATCATCAGTAAACTCCCCAGCCATCTCAACCTGGAATATATCATCAGTATACTCACCAGCCATCTCAACCTGGAATATATCATCAGTAAATTCCCCAGCCATCTCAACCTGGAATATATCATCAGTATACTCACCAGCCATCTCAACCTGGAATATATCATCAGTAAATTCCCCAGCCATCTCAACCTGGAATATATCATCAGTATACTCCCCAGCAATCTCAACCTGGAGAGTTTAAGAAGATATTCTTCAGTTACGTTAAAAACACAAACGAAAATCGATTTTAACCTTGTACCCTGTAGTCTACAAGATGGGTCTGATTTAATATAAAAAGCTCATAATAAAATAACATAAGGTGAGTAACACCAAACCTAATTACATAGCAACAAAGTAAAACAATAGGATCTTAATATGTCAGGATTCCTAAGATTATACTGATTAATTCCTTGTAAAAACCAGCAAACGCCATTAGAAAAACAAAAAGCTGAATATTGAAGATATAAGATAGTATACAAAAAATTTTGTTTGAAAAAGTCACAAAAAACTGTTTCCTGTCGAATTTTAAGGTACAGTGAGTTCATGACAAGAAACCATAGGGTCACTCACAATTTTTTCATCCAGAATTTTAGATTTGTAGTTTTTCAAAATAATTTTGAATACTTTCTAATGTGAGATAAACAATAAATATTAAAAAAGAATACCTTAGTCCCATTAACCCAGATGTCCAGTGTGTCTTTTTCCAAAACAATTCTAAAAATAAATAGTTTCATTAAAAGAAACAAAAAATTGAGTTTTTGATGCCACAAACTCAGATTTTCTAATCCCTATATAGCTTTGCAACCCAATGTCGTAGACCTTAGATATTTCAAACTATGAATTCGGTTAGATCAAATAATCTGAATATGAAATATCAAAGGTTTACACCACCAGGTTGCTAATTTATAGGGCTAAGCAAATTTTAACTTGTGGTAAGGCAAAGACTCAATTCCTTTGTTGCAATGAAAGGGTAAACAAAGTGCATAGTAACATAGTACTGCTACAATAATATAGGGAATACATAACTTTGACATAAATCCTTTATCATTACTACATATATCACCATCAATTAAGCTTTCGGTGTGTACTGCAGTATTTTGCAGTACGAAGAAATAGTTGGTTTTAGTGGAGAGTGATATGGCCAGGGTTCATTCCGGTTTTACTATTCAAACTATGAAAAAGAAGTGGTGGGGAGCACAACGAATTCCTAGAATTTATATTATATCCCGAATGTGATCAGGTTATTAGATAGAAATCTGAAAGCTTAAACTGAAAAGTCAAATAGTGAAAACTTTACAGAATTTTAATATAATTTAATATTTCTGTGTACACTGGACAGTAGAGAGGGGGAACAAAGAGACCAAAGCCATATTTATTTAAACAAAACTCCATTGTTTAAACCTAGATATCTTTTTAGAATGTTTGTAAAATAATAAAGAGTTTTTTATTTATTTGACCCATAATAATCTTTTGTTTGTAGCATTAGTCACAAAAAATTTTTGGGCTATTTTAGGTTTTTTTTTTAAACAGACTGGACTTTTAACTGCCTTGTACGCTACTCTATACGCATTAAAAAAGTATAATAAAAATTCTTAAAATTTCTATTCATTAAAAGTTACAAAGTTTCACGATGATAGTGTCTAAAATGAGAGTGCTAAGACAAAAAAACTAGAGGGGAAGGGCGTCCAACGCCCCCCCCCCCCCAGCCTGATTAGGATTAAGAGTAAGGGGGTGATCTAAATTCCCCCCCCAGCCTGATTAGGGTTAAATAAAAGTCCAAGGCGTTGCGATGCGGTACTTCAAAGTTAAACCAGTCTTGAAAATTGATGCAACTGGATCTATGTGAGAGAAAATTTCGAACAAGGAATTGATAATATATTTCGACAAATCCATGAGAGAGATGAGGCACCAGATTTTCTTGAAATGAAGTTCCATCTTAACCCTTCTCTTCTCTGACTCTTCAATACCATACTTTCCTGAACCCATGGTCCATAATCCCAACCTTTCTCCAGAACCGTCCTTTCACCCAACCAATGCTTTTCTTTTAAGCCGAACTTTCAGAAAGAATTCAATAATTTTTCAACTTATCTCTTCTCCAGCCCCGTCCTTTTTCCCGAACTCGTCCTGTTTACTGAAATCGTCATTTTTCCTGGACTCATTTTTTTCCTGGACTCGTCGTTTTTCCTGAACTCGTCATTTTCCATAACTCGTCCTTTTCCTGAATACACCTTTTTTCCTGAACTCGTCCTTTTTCTTGAACTCCTCATTTTTCCTAAACTCGTCCTTTTTCCCTTAACTCGTCCCTTCCTCCTTCCGAAACAATCCCTTCTCCAAACCCTTTCCCTTTTTCGAAGCCATCCATTCGCAATGACACCCTCTTCCTTTTCCAAAAGCCTTCCATCTTCGAACCCATCCCTTCTCCGAAACTATTCATTCTCAAAAACTTCTTCGAAATTATTACTTTCTCTGAAAATGTTTCTACACTATTATTTCTACAAAACAATTTCTTCTCTCAAAAACCTCCACTCTGAATAGCAATACTTTTTTCGAAACCATCTCCTTTTAGAAACCATCCTTTCTCCAAATTTATTTAAATTTTCAATCCCCAATTTTCTCCAAAAAGTCCCTGAATCCTTCTCCAAATTCGTCCTGTCTCCGACCGTCCCTTTTTCCAAAACGCCCATTTCCTGGTATTATAGTAACACCTGCTCTGCACCACCGCTGATTTGAACCTACTCCTTCTCCAACACTGTCTCTTCATTGACTCCAAACCTGACTTTGCATAAACTTCAAACTAATCCGTTTCCTTGAACCCCTAATTTCACTGAATATGCCTTTCTAATCTTCTCCTTTACCCGAGCCCGTCCTTGAGTGAATGAAAGTAGTTTATCAGAACTGCAGTGGAGTGCACTCTGTGTTTATAAAATCTGAAATTGCATCTGTTGAATTATCATTCTTATTCTGTTTAAAATAATGAATTATGTTCATAATTTTTAAATGTTTTAGCACTTTTTTATTACGCCGTATATATTTACCATTTTGTTAATCTTGTATACATAAAACTGTACATACCTGTACATGTTCTTGTTAATCTTGTATACATAAATCTGTACATACCTGTACATGTTCTTGTTAATCTTGTATATATAAAACTGTACATACATGTACATATTCTTGTTAATCTTGTATACATAAAACTGTACATACCTGTACATGTTCTTGTTAATCTTGTATACATAAATCAGTACATACCTGTACATGTTCCCGTCTACTGGTAGTATCCATGTTTTCATAATCTTTGTCTGGTTTTCTAAAAACTTCTTGTAGGGTTTACCAGCCACCTTAATAAATATATAGGTTTTTTACCAAGCAATATTGTTATCAGGAATCTACTGACAGGACCTCGAACTTATGAAGGGTGTAAATCTTACTTTGAACATTTAATGTAACACATTTTTCTCAGGATGCAATGATATAGTGATTAGAAAATTAGAGTTTGAGGCAATGTATCTGTACATAAAGAGGGTTTTGAAGTTTGTTATAACCACCATAACTTCATATGATAACCCAAGGATGAGAATGAGTATTTATTTCAATAATTCCAAATTTTTGATCAGATTAAGGTTTCAAGAATATCATAGAAAACTAGCGCATTGCCATCTTCGCAAGAAGCTGGTCACTTGAAATTACGCGTACAGTCCCTTAAGGCAGATGGATACCCTTTAAACCGTAAACAGAACCTTTATTATATGGAAAACATGCTTTATTCATTATTTTTCCAGTGACGACACATTTCATGCATAAATATATATCAATTTGGTCGCCCTTAAATTATTACTTTTAGTAGTCCATATTGCAGTATAATCCTAGTTTAGAGGAGAATAGCTGAAGTGCCCGGCGTTTCTCGAATTTTGAACATAAATAATTCCAAAAAATAATGTCGAAATTTTTTATTCTATGTTACTCAACGGTACCGATGGGTTCCTTTAAAAAATTCAGGTAATTCGGTCCAGCCGTTTACATATATAGCAAGCAAGAAACAAATTGTTTCTTCCTGATTACACATTTCTTGTTCTCCTCTATGTAAACATTGATCTTAATATTTTTATAGATATATAGATTTATATACAAATATTTATATATACAACCAAAGGGATTCAGTCTTTGTAACAAATTCGAACTTTTTAATCCCATAAATCTTTGCTTTATACATATATTTATATATCTTTTCTTCTTGAAGTACAAAATTACAAACATATACACAGTTTAGTCAAACGAATATTTTTTTAGTTAGGACTCATTTAAAAAAGTGTAACTATAAGAATTGAGTCTTTGCCACAAACCTTAAATTTGTTGATTCCATATATCTTTGCAACTTTATGGTGTAAATTTTTAACATTGCAAACTTTGATTATTTGATCAAACAAACCCCATGGTTTGAAACCGCTAAAATCTACATCATTGGGTTGCACAAATTTGAGATTTAGAAAATCAGAGTTTGTGGAAAAGACTCAGTTCCTTTGAAATATATTTGTTCTACAATAATTCTGTAACTCTGTGATCAATCTCTGATTGTCTAATCCTATTAACTTTGCAGCTTGATGGTGTAGACCTTAACATTTCAAACTATTAATCCTGCTAAATAAATAGTTACAAATATCTAAGGTTTACAGTTTACGCCAATATGTTACGAAACTGTAGGGATAAAATAAAGCTTGAGGTGAGTAACTAGTTCCTTTGGTTTCATTTTAAAAAATCGAGTTAAACCCTCCAACAGGTTCTATACCTCTAAACTATATTGGTAGTTAAACCCTCCAACAGGTTCTATACCTCTAAACTATATTGGTAGTTAAACCCTCCAACAGGTTCTATCTTGATAGAGCAGGGTGAATTACTCTTACCCAGAGTAAAGGTTTCAGTTCCTACAAGCTTAAACATCCAGTCTCTCCGCATAACTTCCTTTCTAGATACAGATAATCATATATACAGGATACCAGGATACCAGGATACCAGGATACCAGGATACCAGGATACCAGGATACCAGGATACCAGAATACCAGCATACCAGGATACCAGGATACCAGGATACCAGGATACCTGGATACCAGGATACCTGGATACCAGGATACCAGGATACCAGGATACCTGGATACCAGGATACCTGGATATCAAGATACCAGGATATTAGGATACCAGGGTATTGGACCTACCTATCTATCCAAAGAATCCGTTTCCCTGATGTGGTTCCATGTTCAAACTAAATATTAAAATGTATCCCACCGCGGCATCAAAATTAGCTCTCTAACTTAATTTATCTAATTCCCAAACTTCAAACAGTGGAGAACATGAATACTCCTTTTGTATTTAATAAACAGATAGAAAGGAAATCAAAGGGACATGATTTTACATTAAACTAAGTTCCCATTTAGCAGATATTTTTATTTTTTTTCCATATTCTAATCTGTCTTAATGGACTAATGCTATCTTATTAAATTCCAAGGATGATATTGATAAATTCCTTTAACTGAATTGAACGACACATATATTAAAACACCAGAGCTGGGAACTTTTGAATGGTGGATATCGGGATTAAGACTTGATCCACTCTTGTGCTTAATCTCGAGATAAAATAATGCTTGTTCTCCTCTTGTTATTAATCTCCAGATTAATTAACCGATCTGGATTAAGGATATCCCATTCTAAAGTTTTCAGCTCATGTTGCAAAGATAAAAGGATCAGAAATTTAGAGCATGATGCAATTGAATAACGATCTTTCCGATAATTCATAAAAATAATAAATAAACATGATTTAAATGAAAATATTTTCATGAATAGAGGGGGAGTTTGATTTCACGGCTGGTGCTGGATTTTCGAAGAATCCAGGAAAATATGAAAATGTCGTCTTCGTTATTAAAAATCCTCGAAACAGGAATGAATGTTTTCAAAAGTAACTTTCGGATCATAAAAAAATATGAAATATCAACTATATACGAATGCGTCGAAATATTATCGATGATTATAAGTTGTAATATCTGAATGATTTGTTTGGAATTAAATTGATTTTTTAACGATCCGAGTTGAATATTGCAGCTTTCTGAATTTGCATGGACACTATATTCTTCGTTATAAGTCGTCTTTAACAATTTTCTCCTTAAAGACGCAACAGATAATAGTAGCGATCACCATCGACAATTTTTCGACGTAAGCCTATACCCCTTTTATTTTTCGCGAATCTTCCCTTTAAGTAATAATGAGTAAAACCTGAATAAGATGAATACCATCTGGAAGCTGAACCTCCCAAACTGCCACCAAATCTGAACCAGGCTCAACCATTTCTAAATATAAACAAATTTTTTTAATTTCTGATATTATTATACAGGGTTACCCACAAAGGATGAGACTTCAGAGACAGTCGTACAGAATTTATACTTTCTGTTTCCTTAGATTCCTGATTTCTTGCCACTTCAAACTTTTTTTCTTTTTTAAAAACTATCAAATAAGATTAGAAGACGATATTTAAGGCAGACGACTTAATTTAATCGTGGACTCGTCATATTTTAAGAGCTTCACGTCGTCTTTACAGTCTTATCCTTTGTGGGTAACCCTGTATGATACAGAGTGTCCCAATAAAAATGGAATTTGAGTGACGAATTTAAAATTGTCTTTGTAAATAACTTCTTATTTTGTATATAGTGATACGTAGAATGTTATTTCTCCTTTGCTGTGTACGGTGTAAATTATTCAGGAGGAGAATGTCGAAGGAATTGAGCTTTGCCATAAACTCAAATTTTTTAATCCTTATATGTTTGCAACCTCGTGTCCTCGTGGTGTAAACCTTTGATATTTGAAACTAATTGATTTAACAGAATTCACAGTTCGAAAGATCTAAGATCCACAACATTGGGTTGCAAAGATATATGGATTAGAAAATCAGAGTTTGTGGCAAAGACTCAAATCTTTTTTATTTAACCCTTTTCCTACTGGAAATAAAATGCCATTAATATATTAATACTCTATAGGAAAATATATATATTTTATAATGTATTATTATATTATGTCATGTGTACAAAATAAATTGATAATAAAATAACATAAATTAGATATATTATTTAGATATGCGATATCTTCTGTTATGCAAGAATTTGTTTTATATATCCTTACCAAGGGTAAAAATGTTCTAGATAAAATAATCATTAATATATTTACATTCATTTGTCTTTTGACAATTACTTTTCTTTCAACCAGCATAAACCAAGCCTATCCCTGCTGACTTTGTTGACAAGTCCGTGCAATCTTCCTAATTAGATATTGATAATAAAATCTAATGACTACACCATCAGGTTTCAAAGATATAGGGGTTTGGAAATATGAGTTTATGGCAAATACTCAATTCCTTTATACGGCAATACTGATGTATCGACTTTGTGACCTTGTAGATCCTCTAGATTTAATTTTATACACAAGTATGAGAAAATTAAATTTAATTGAAAACATATTAGATATTCAAAATATTTGTTTTCTCCATAGCTCTTTAATAAAAAAGTTATTATTGAAAACATGTAATTTACTAAATTTGGACGTCGGTGGAAATGTGTATATTGATTTGTAATCAGTTTGAATTGTATAAAGTCGGTTTCTTGTTCATCTCTTTCGTCGGTACTAAAACTTTATTTTCTGAACATTTTTATAAAAAGCTATTTAGCCATTTCCGGCTTTTCTTAACCCAAAGGCTGGGGGGTCTGAATCTATTTGTAGCCTAGAAAAGGCCTTAGAGGTTGAAATGCATGTTCATAGCCCAATTTTTCAAGGCCAGCACTAAGAAAATAAAGTTATACCTATAACTTTAATAGTTTGGGTGCTAGGAAAGGTTAAAAAAAAATGCCTAAAAAAGGGTAACAAAAATGAAAAAAATATTTTTTTTTGTTTCAAACACATATCAAAGTGTGTCACATGTTTCTACATCCATTTTTCAAGGGCTTTTCAAAAATATAGTATTTAGATCTGTAGTTTTAATCACAAAAAATTAAGTTATATGGGCTATTTTAGATTTTTTCCACTGACCGGACTTATTTCCGCCCTGTTCCCTACTCTATGAATTAAAACAATATTTTCTTAACAAAAAATCCTTTAAATTACTATATATTAAAATTCACAAAAGTTCACGTNTGTCATTCTTTTCAGAAGTTTTAATGTATAAAAAACGTCTTAGGACTCCCCGACGGTTTTAACCTCTCATCCCTAATTAGATCGTAAGAATCTTTCCACTGTAAAATTATAAAACTTTGTAACAAACTCGTGCATTATTATCAATTTTATTTTTTTTAGGAAATAAAGAGTTTTCTGCATTATCGGTTTTGATTTGAGGGTTATTCCGTTGTCTATCTGTTCATCGTCAGAATCTTGTTCCTATCCGACAGCAAACATATTTTAGCAGTATACAAGATAATAGAAATAATATTATGACAATTTCAAACTGGGTTTTAAAACAAGTGTCATATTAAAGTAATAATATTAAAAATTTTCAGAACTGGTATTTATTTGGTATATGAAAAATAATTTTTTAACAAAAAAAAACAGAATAAACGCATAGTATATTTTTAGGTACTTGTAGTTGTATCATGCTTTAAAAAGACGACTTATCATTTTGATTTTCAAGAATAATTAAACAACCAGAGCTGGGAACTTTAGAATGGGATATCCTTAATCCCGATCAGTTTATTATTCTGGAGATTAAAAAACAGCGAGGAGAACAAACATTATTTAATCTCGAGATTAAGAAAAAGAGTGGATCAAGCATTAATCCCAATATCCACCATTCAAAAGTTCCCAGCTCAGAGTTGGGAACTTTAGAATGGTGGATATCGAGATTAATGCTTAATCTTCTCTCTTTCTTAATCTCGTGACTTAAAGAATCATGTACTTGTATCCCAGAAACTAAGAATGGGATACCTTTAATCCCGACTGTTTAATCCGAATATCCAATGTGGACACTTTTAATGTCTCGCTTAATCCACTCTTTTTTGGATAAAATACAGAAAAATCAAAAACCGGTTTTTTATATTTAGAGAGACTCTCCTGTTTCTGTATATAAATCTTAAATGGCGGGCAAAATTTCAAAGTTCCCGGCTTCTGAAACACTACTCTGATTGGTTGAATTTTGTATACACTTTTCAGGATACAAGTATAAGATTAGGTTAGCCTCGAGATTAAGAAAAAGAGAGGATCAAGCATTGATCTCGATATTCACCATTTTAAAGTTCCCAGCTCTGTATTTTTTTTCAAGTTGATACAAGGAACACAAAAACTTTTTTTTGAATAAAAACAATAAATATTATTTGGCTATCAGGGTGCTTCGCGGTCATCTTGTATTTCCACTTTTTATTGATGCTCCATCAATTCAATTCAAAATATCCATTAATTTTTTTCTACAGCTGCAGATTCACAATTTTTTTTTGAGAATTTACAAAATTTTACGAAAATTAAAATATTTTCCGACACCTTTTTCGAAATTCTGAGCATTCATAAACCTTCTCTGGTATCATGGTAGGTTCCACAAAAAATCAGTTCAGCCTTTTGGACGTTATCGGTTATAAACAAACAGACGGACTTATGCTTATATTTTTCGTACTTTAAGATTAAACTTGTAAATGTAATTTAAAACTGTTTTGTTTTTTTAATTTGTGAAATTTACACGTAAAATAATTTTAACTTTGTATTAACAAGTTCTAATTATAAATTTTTCAAAATGCTCTTAGCGATCTTTAACATTTATTTAAATCTTAACCTTAGTATCAAATCAGAGCTGAGCTGAAAACTTTTGAATGGTGGATATCGGGATTAAGGCTTGATTTACTCTTTTTCTTAATCTCGAGATTAAATAATGCTTGTTCTCCTCTTGTTATTAATCACCAGATTAATTAACCGATCGGGATTAAGAATATCCCATTCTAAAGTTTTCAGCTCAGAGCACTTTAGAATGTTGGATATTGAGATCAATGCTTGATCCTCTCTTTTTCTTAATCTCGAGACTAACCTAATCTTGTGTTTGTATCCCTGAAAAGTGTATAAAATTAAACCAATCAGGGTCGCGTATCAGGAGCCGGAAAATTTGAAATTTTGTGCGCCCTTTTAAGATTAATATACAGAAACGTGAGGGACTTTCTAATTTTTGAAAAACCGGTTTTTGATTTCCAAAAAAGAGTGGTTTAAGCAAGAATAAAAAGTGTCCGCATTGGATATTCGGATTATGTAGTCAGGATTAAAGGTATCACATTCTAAAGTTCCCAACTCAGATTAATTTTCTTAATTCCAAGTTAAAAATGTTGTTTTAAACTGGACAAAAATAAGAACATTAGAGTAAACAACTTTTGTATTAGTTACGCTAAAAATTGAAATTATATATGTTTATATTTTTCAAAATTAAAGAAAACAATTTTTCAGCATTTGCCTGATTTTTTGATAGTTTTTAAGGCCTTCCTTGCACTCTAACTATTAAAATTAGGGGTCTAACTTTTTAATGAGCTGGCCTTGAAAAGTTGGACTAGAGGGACGTGTATAACACTCCCCTCATATCAACCCCTTCCCCCCCCCCCGCCCATCTTTATTAGACAAAAATGAGCCTATCGGGATAATAAAGATTTTAGTCAATCATTTTTATATTTAAATTTGTAATAACAATTACATTAAGCAAACAGAATTGACTGAAAAGGTGATAATAATGTAATTTTCCTCAGTGGTTTTGGCTGTAGAAATTTGCAAAAAAAACGAATTAAAAAATTATAAGTTTTTATGTAGAAAAATATAAATATCTTTCAGTTAAAACAGAACACACCAAATCATACAATTAAGCAGAGTGAATTCCCAAAAATGCATGTTTCCACAAAATTAGTTTTTTCAAAATTATCAGAAGCGGGACAGTCAAGAGAAGAAAAATCAATAATAAAGGAAGGAGAGAATTGATAACAAGAAGAAAAATAAAATAGAATTTTTCTGTATGAATTATACATTATAAAATTAAATTTTTTTTTAACAGAGGGTTACTAGAAATAATGTCGAGACTCGACAGTCAAGTAATTGTGACGACAGTCAAGTTATTGTGACGACAGTCAAGTTGTTGTGACGACAGTCAAGTTCTTGTGACGACAGTCAAGTTGTTGTGACGAAAGTCAAGTTGTTGTGACGACAGTCAAGTTGTTGTGACGACAGTCAAGTTGTTGCGACAACAGTCAAGTTCTTGTGACGACAGTCAAGTTCTTGTGACGACAGTCAATTTCTTGTGACGAAAGCCAAGTTGTTGGGACGACAGTCAAGTTAATGTGACGAAAGTCAAGTTCTTGTGACGATAGTCAAGTTCTTGTGACGACAGTCAAGTTCTTGTGACGACAGTCAAGTTCTTGTGACGACAGTCAAGGTCTTGTGACGACAGTCAAGTTCTTGTGACGACAGTCAATTTCTTGTGACGACAGTCAAGTTGTTGTGACGACAGTCAAGTTGTTGTGACGACAGTCAAGCTGTTTTGACGACAGTCAAGTTGTTGTGACGACAGTCAAGTTGTTGCGACGATAGTCAAGTTCTTGTGACGACAGTCAAGTTCTTGTGACGACAGTCAATTTCTTGTGACGACAGTCAAGTTGTTGTGACGACAGTCAAGTTGTTGTGACGATAGTCAAGTTATTGTGACGACAGTCAAGTTCTTGTGATGACAGTCAAGTTGTTGTGACGACAGTCAAGTTCTTGTGACGACAGTCAAGTTCTTGTGACGACAGTCAAGTTCTTGTGACGACATTCAAGTTCTTGTGACGACAGTCAATTTCTTGTGACGACAGTCAAGTTCTTGTGGCGACAGTCAAGTTATTGTGACGACAGTCAAGTTATTGTGACGACAGTCAAGTTATGGTGACGACAGTCAAGTTGTTGTGACGACAGTCAAGTTATGGTGACGACAGTCAAGTTATTGTGACGACAGTCAAGTTAATGTGACGACATTCAAGTTCTTGTGATGACAGTCAAGCTCTTGTGGCGACAGTCAAGTTAATGTGACGACAGTCAAGTTAATGTGGCGACAGTCAAGTTCTTGTGACGACAGTCAAGTTCTTGTGACGACAGTCAAGTTAATGTGACGACAGTCAAGTTAATGTGACGACAGTCAAGTTAATACAGTCAAGTTAATGTGACGACAGTCAAGTTCTTGTGACGACAGTCAAGTTATTGTGACGACAGTCAAGTTATTGTGACGACAGTCAAGTTATTGTGACGACAGTCAAGTTATGGTGATGACAGTCAAGTTATGGTGATGACAGTCAAGTTATAGTGACGACAGTCAAGTTATTGTGAGAATATTCCTGTAAACAGCAAGAACCACAAAACTTTAGAACAGGAAGTTGACTTTTAAACTCGTCTTTTGACTTTAAATTGTTCAGTAAACATCAGACACAGTAATTGCATACCAACATAATTTGTTTTAATGTCGTCTTCTTATTCCACAGGTTTTTGGTTCTCAAATTTCAAAATTAAAAACTAACCTCTTGATCTATCTTTACAATCTTTAATCAACAGTTCTCCTTTTTTCCGAACTGAAATGTAGTTATTAGTATACATAACTTGTAGCTCTGGTTTCTAACAATGTTTAAAGATCAAATTTTTCTAATATAAGTTTTTAATTGAAAGAGCTAGGAGGTTTTAGATATCATGGCTTAATATATAAAGCTGTGAGGAATTTTTAATAAACTGCAGGAGTGAACATCAGAATCGATTTTGAACCTTGACTGTAGATACTCTATATACCACTATACCGTCCCTACCTGCTTTCAGGCGTAGCAATCAACCATCAAATCATAATGCTTCGTGGCCATTCCACAAAGTATTGTGATTACTTCATAAAGTAAATGCAACACAAAACCATTTGTATCTACGAATTAGCGACAGTTAATCTGTTCTAGTTTTAATTTTACATGTTCTAGCAAGAAAAGCAAACTATATGATCAGATTTTTTAATGATCTACATTTTTTACAATTGCTATCCATTGTGAGCTCGATAACTTTTTAAAAATTAGTCGACAACTCGTAAAAGCTTCTTAAAAAAGTAGAAAATATGATTTAATATCTAGACAAATAAAAAAAAAATATATATTTAACATGATATATTCAAGAAATATGATATGATAAATTCAATTCAAATAAGTTCGCGTTTCCTTTAAAAAAATGGTCATTCGTGGACACCTTAATCTTTATTTAGTATCATGTAATAGAGCAATTATTGTGTTTGAAAACATACCATTTTTTCTCTCACAAAAACAAGACTATTATATAGTTATACATAAGTCATATTTGTGTGGGTGTTTTCCTGCTACAGAAAATTCTTTATGTATTTGCCAGATTTTAAAATAAAATAAAACTGTTCAGAAAGAAAAGTTTTGTAGTTGGAAAGCATTTTTTTACGGATAAATGATCCTTATTTGTTTTATTATGTAGTCATAGCTTAAATCACATAAATGCTTACAAGTTTTTTTTTGAAAATCCACAAAAAATATGCTGTAATCCACAAACTTTTTTGTCATTGTTTTATAATTGTACGAAGTGAAAGTGCTCACAGATATAGGCACAATTTAAAGTTGAATTTTTATTTTGATTTATGTATTTCCGTTATTTCCGATTTGAATATGATATCTTTCAATCCTGTCTAGACAACACAAGATGAAAGAAACATTATATCATTTTTTAATTCTGAAATCTGATGTCGCAACAAAACTTAATAATATCTTTGAGTTGTACTTGATGAGTTTACAGTTTGAAGGATACCTGAAGACACGACGTGAAATTCATTAACAATCCTTTTTTCTGATTCATATTTCTCCCTTTATAATGTTATAGGGTTAAAACCAATCTTTGTTTGTGTATGCTGCATTGTATTCCTGTGAATAAGTATGAGTTACTATTGTTAAACAAACAGCACGAGGTGGGGTGGGGAAACACAAGAGAGGGTGGGGAAACACAAGAGAGGGTTTGTGCAGGATTATCTACTTTAGATAAAACTTTATAGATGACTGTACGGAATTTATTTAATCTTTAATCTTGTTCCCGGCAGTTGTAACTTGCAAGCTAATTCATTTTTTGTGCCAATTCACACGCAAGTTTGCTCATTATTGTAAACTGGCGGTACAGTCCAAGTAAGGCCCATCACCTCGGATATTCAAGTATACAACGGGTTTGCGTCATCAATTATTTTGTCATTCATAACGTCAAATCCAGCTTTCAATCGTATATATATTTTTATCCTTGCTTGTTAACAAAAGTTTAATCTTTTCTCTTCCTAAGAAATTGAGCCTTTGCCTTAAAATCTCTAATCCGTTTCTGGTTGCAACATGATGATGTAAACCTTTTATATTTTAAACTAAGATTATTTTTCCTAACAAAATTCAAAGTTTGAAATATCTAAGGTCTATGTAACATTGGGTTGCTTAAAAGTAGGGATTAGAAAATCAGAGTCTCTGGTAAACCTCAATTCCTTTACGTTTTTTTTTTTGACAAAATTACAAATAAATTTTTCGAAATTTTAAAAAAGAAAGTACAGTACAGTGCAATACAGTACAGTACAGTACAGTACAGTTCAGGCTTACGGATTAATTTTATGTTCCTCTTGCAAAGGTCGGAGACTAGATATACGCAAGAGAGAGAACACCATGGGTACCCCTGAGCCCAAAACTTAAGACAGGGTATTGTTATGAAAACCAGTTTTAAAACCCGGGTTTTACGAATGGGGTTAAGCAGTTTTGTGGATATCGATATTTTTGTTTATGAAATATTTTTTTTATTTATTTTCTTTATATTCTCCATTTTTGTTGAATCTCTTAAATCAAAATCTACAAAATATTAAGACCCCAAAAAGGAAACTCGAGAGTTTCGTTCAGTGATACTCTTTTAAATTTTGGGCTATGGAGAACACTGAGCCTAAAACTTAAGACAGGGTAGCGTTATGAAAACCAGTTTTGGAACCCGGGTTTCACAAATGGGTTTACCCAGTTTTGTAGATATCGATATTTTTGTTTTGAAATATTATTTTATTTAATCCTTAATATCTTACCATTTTTATCAAATCTCTTAAATCAAAATCTACACAAATAATAAGACCCCAAAAAGGAAACTCGGAAGTTTCGTTCAACGATACTCCCGAGTTTTCTTTTTGGGGTCTTAACATTTGCGTAGATTTTGATTTGAGGGATTTGAAAAAATAGAGAATTTTAAGAAACTAAATAAAATAATATTTCAAAACAAAATATTAATATCCACAAAACTGCCTAACCCGTTCGTGAAACCCGGGTTTCAAAACTGGTTTTCATAATGATACCATATCTTAAGTTTTGGGCTCTGGAAGTCTGAACATGTATTTGCGTACAATGTGTATAGTATATTACAAAGAGGAAGTAGACAGGAACTGGTCAACTTCCACGTAAACATAAACAGGGATAAATATGATAAATAAAAATAAACAGGGATAACTCCCGCAGGGATAACTTAGATTAAGCGATCAAGCACTGACTATCAAGTTCAGAAATGCCCACTTCAAGATCAAGATCAAGATCAAGATCAAAATCAAGATCAAGATAAAGATCAAGTGTTTAAGAGTGAAGATTACAAATATCTACATTAAAGTTCCGATCTCTGTAAATACATTGTACATGTTCTATTACTTTTCAAAGATGATCGAGCGGGGAAAAATCGTAGCAGAGAAAAATGTTCAGAAAATAGTTTTTAAAGCTAAATATAAAAATATCGCTATAGAATTATTAAACTTGAAAAACCTCGTTAATATTTAAAACTTCATAAAAAGTCGTCTTCATTGTATTGATATAATCACCGACTACTGAAGAATTTTGGAGGATAAAACAGTAGAATGAAGGAATAATTTTAGAGCAATGAAAGGCTAAATTTCTTTTATTTCGACACAAAAAGAATTTTTAATGTTAAATTGAATAATTCAATGCATGAATGTAAAATTAAATTATCTCTTGAGGTTTGATGAGCCTATGCAAATCTATTCAAAGCTTTAGACCTGGCCATGTTTATTTTTGTATTTTTTTTTCATTTGAACATTTTTTTTCCATTCGTTTAGCCAATTCAATACTTGTTCTTTTACAACAAACCGTCCAGTAGGGCTGGGCACGTTCCAAATTTTTCTAGCCGATTCGTTAACGACTAGTTTCAAACATTAAAAAAACGATTTTCAGGTTGCCGTTAGTTAAAGGTTAGAACGGAACGTTCGTTTCGTTAATGATCTTTTCCGGTTTTATAAGCTGCTCATAGGTAACCATGTCAATTTTTTTAACGATGTTAACGGAAGATATTTCGCCTTTTATGTTTTTTTTTCAATTAATGTCAATTGACATTCCGAAAGTGTGCAAAGCGCCAAAAAAAATCCGATAACGATGGCTTGTAGTATTATCGGTTTAACAAATTGGATTTACGGCCCAAGCAAATTAAAATTTCCATCAAATGAAGACATCAAAATTCATTAAAAAAAATGTTGCAGCTCTAATGCAATTTTAGTGAAATAACGAATGAAAGTTGCGGTTTTAAGAAACCCCCGTTTAGTTTTGGTTTCAACTGCTATTTCTTCTTCAAATGGCCTATCCGTTTTTTAACGATTTAAAGATTAACAGTTTTTGCCGTTCTTTGTCCGAGCTATTCAGTTAATTTTCGAAAACATCCTTTTCGTTAACGAAATTTTGACCAGCTGTAATGTCCAGTCCCATTAAAGTATTTAAGAATAATGAATTTTTTATTTTAACAGTTAGTCAAAATGTGTTTTTTTGAGACTCAAAGTTAGAAATGTTTACGTATGAAGTTTTTTCAGTAAAAAAAAGCTTATTTTGAAATTGTATTACCCTAAAGCAGTTATAGAGGGTTACCCACAAAGGATAAGGCTTCAGAGACGATTATACGGAATTCATACTGTCTGTTTCCTTGTATTCACGATTTCTTACAACTGTAAATTTGTTTCTTTGCCAAATCATTAAATAAGCCTAGATTAGCTATAATAATGCAGCATACATAAGCTAACCTTAGGATCGTCACATTATAAGAGGTTCCGGTCGTCTTTACAGTTCTATCCGTTGTGAGTAAACCTGTATTAAGACTGCTTAAAACAAGCTAGACAAGAAGGTATATTATCAGAAGCTAACTATATTTTTTTATTTAAAGTAAAACCATATTCTTGATCCCTACAGATCAATAGATCAATAGAAATTTGAGTTCATTTGAAGTACACAGCTGGTTCTTAGTCAATGTTTACAGTTTACATGCGTACAAAGTACAGGGGTAAACGAGACAGTACGCAGGATGAATCATCCCTATCTAGATGAGTTAATGATGCTCTACTTCAAATGCCTGATCACCTAATTTCATTTTTAGACTGGCATATCCGATTGACAAGGAAAGATGAGTGGCATATCCGATTCACAACGGAAGATGAGTGGCATATCCGGTTGACAATGGAAGATGAGTGGTATATCCGATTGACAACGGAAGATGAGTGGCATATCTGATTAACAACCGAAGATGAGTGGCATATCTGATTCACAACCGAAGATCAGTGGCGTATCCGATTCATAACGGAAAATGAGTGGCATATCCGATTGACAACGGAAGATGAATGGCATATCTGATTGACAACAGAAGATGAGTGGCATATCCGATTGACAACGGAAGATTAGTGGCATATCTGATTCACAACCGAAGATGAGTGGCATATCCAATTCACAACGGAAGATGAGTAGCATATCTAATTGACAATGGAAGATGAGTGGCATATCCGATTGACAACGTAAGATGAGTGGCGTGTCCGATTCACATCGGAAGATGAGTGGCATATCAGATTCACATCGGAAGATGAGTGGCATATCCGATTAACAA